TGAATTTCTCCAGTTGTTGGATGTCTTGTGGGAGCCAGGAGGAGAGGGGGACAGCCAGGAGGAAAGGGGGAATGCCAGCACCTCCCAAATGGCAAGATGTCAAGGAAGGGGAAGCTGTGCTGTGCGTGTCAGTAGTCAGCAAAGACTGGGAACCCCAAATGTTTTCAGTGAGCTGTCAGAACGATCTGCAGGCCAAGGATTCTCCTTTAGAGGATGGCGGGAATGTTTTCTGGAAAACAAACAAATGTGAGGCTGTCACAATCTGTTCACACCGAGACAAAAACAAAACAAAAAAGCGTGAAATAAATTTTCTCGTACCCACGGGGCTTGAACGAGGCTGGAGGCAGAAATGCCAAATAAGGGCTAGTGTGCTGATGAAAACAAGAGCTTCATTTTGATGTGCCTTGCACAAAAGGGCTGTCTCTGGGACCCAAAAAGCTGCTTATGGAGAGGTAGATGGGGAACACCAAGGAGAGAGGAATAAAAGTGCTCCTTCACTTACCTTTCCTAAGAGTTGCTAGCAAGGTTTGGTGAAGTGAAACAGCAGTGCTATGACCAGGTGGAAGAGTGTGCCACCTGCAAGGACAATGTCATGATGGCTCTGTTTAAAAAAATGTTTTGGTGTTATTCCTGGTGATAGGATGGGCTTATTCTCAAAGAGATTTTCACTGCTGGCTGCTGAGGGGCCAAATTTCTGTAGGGGTTTTGTAGAGATTTGGTATTCAAAGTGATATCATATTCTGTTCCTCATTCGAATGAAAACAAAGCCCAAAATTTCCTGGGAAATCACATTCTTAAAAATAATGTCAGGCCGAATGCAGAGAGCTATTTATTGCAATAACACTTGAAATCTTTTTTACATTGCAGTGTTAAACCTTCTGGATAATGCAGAGATGAGCCTGAAGTGATGGGGTTTTCATGAGCAAAAGTTGCAACCATTGCAAAATCAGAATGGAGCCCAATGGCATTATTGAAATGTTTGTATCTTTCTCGTGGTGAAAATTCATTGTTAGTGTCTTTCATGTTTGACAGAATTGCATTTTTCTGAAGGAAAAATATTCCACTGGGAAATTCTAGTGCTAATATGGGTGTCAGTAGCAGGCTGCCTATTTTTTTATTTTTATTTTTATTCTCAAAGAATTCCCACTGTGGTTCTGAAGCCAGTGGATATTTCTTCTGAAGATAGGGCTCTGGAGAGAGATATTTTTCAAACCAAATCCCCCCTCCCCCAAGTGGCAGTTAGGATCTAGCTCTGTGGATTCATTATGCACTGTTAGGCAGCTGCCACATTTCACTCAGGCAACAGTTGTACTTCATTTATGAGCAAAATGATTCATATGTGAATATGGCAAGAGTGCTGCAGCTCGTGGTGAATTTGCACTGAGGAGCAGCTCGTGGGTGAGGATTGGGTAAAAACAGATGCTGAAGTAGGACTTTGTTACTTGCCTGATAGTTTTTACAGTCATAAAAGTTTATGTTTTAGGAGGGCAGGTCCTGCCAGAAATAGGAGTGCATAAACACAGAGCAAAGGAGCTTGTTTATGACTAATATTAATCATAGCTTCCCTGCATCTTGTCTAAAAGAAGCAAATAAATGGTAACACTTGACCTATATACAAAATTATGAATGAGGAAATGAAATGGATTGATAGTATTCTTACATTAGTCCCATAATGCAAAAACAGTGGGATGCCCAATCACTGCAGCAAATGTGACAATGATTGAAGGATGATTCCTCTTTTACACAAAACCTATTTGTGTTCACTACCCTGGAAAATTTCCCAGCCTGTTTCTTTTATTTACCACGGTGTAAATTAGGAGCCTTTCTGCTAAAAAGAGTGTGATCTTCACGGGGGTAAGAGCAGCAGAAGTAAGAAATTAAGGCATATGTCTGGAATGTTGCAAAAAATAACAGTCTTAATACTTCAGTGCAGAAGCTCTGTGGGTGGAGTGAGGAGAGTTCCCTTTCTGAAGGCCAAGGCTTCCACCAGGCTCGGGAAAAGTCATGCAGATCCTCCCCAGCCAGCCCTGGGAGATGATGCAGAGCTCTGTGCCTCACATGTGCTGCAGCTTTTACTCTTCCCTCCGATGAGACCTGACCTCAATCCATGAGTTCTTTCACTTTTACTCTTCCAGTTCTCTTCCTGATCTGGTGGTGGAGGAGTGAGTGAGCTGACAGCTGCAGTTAGAGCATGACATCCATCCAGAAGAACAGTCTACCCTCAGAAAAGCCAGGCAAAGAGGAGATATAAGTGTTTCGTTTAAAAATCCGTTTTAAAAGAGCCTCTGTGTTGTGCAAAATTTTTTTTGTGTATTTTTATCCCAGGGTAGAGAGGAATAAAGATTCATTAAATTCCAAAAATCTGTGGTGCCGAAAATCTGTGGTGCCAGCTGAGACCTCACAAGTCATGTTGGCTTCACAGAAAACCTGGGTTCAAAAGCACCTCCTGCTATTTGCCCTCCAGTGCCAGTACCCAAAGAGGAAGCTGTTGGTCCTAAGTAAAGGGGTCCTCCTTTATTTGGGTTTTACCAGCCCTGAGTGGTGCCTTGCAGTGCAGAAGCAGCTTTGATTTTTCAGTGGTCCTTCAGCATCTTTTGTTCATGAGAAGATTAAACTGCACATCTACCCTTAGATGGCTTTGTGTCCCTGCTCTGCAAAAGCAAACTTTAACTCAGGGGAATTGTTGGCACTTGCCACAATCTCACGGGGTACCACTGGAAGAAAACACCCCTGCTCTCCCAATGCACAGCCCTGTGCACTTTACTCAAATCCTTCTGGGTTGTTTTTTTTTCTTTTTCTTTTTTTTTTTCTTGCAGGTTTCCACAGATACTTAGGCTAGCAAATAATCCCAAGGCTCATTACTGCACATAAATCCCTCAGCCTTCTGAGTTTCCTTCTCTGGAGCCACTGCAAAAATGGACACATCAATACAGCCTTCTGCAGAAAAGCTGACAATCTCAAAATGGGCTCGTGCTGCAATAACTGAAATCTCCTGCCAGGTTGGTGATGGGGCTTTCTAATCAACTTTGCAATGAATATTTCTTAAATCATGTTAATCCACCATTTAAGCAGAGATATCAGTTCCAGACAATGAATCCCATGGCTGGAGGGGGCTGTACCTGCCGTTCCCGGGGAGGAGGCGATGAGCAGCTCCTGCTGTCAGAGGAGCCAGCAGCTATGGCATTTATCACCTCACAGCTCCTTCGCTGCAATGAAGGGAAGCTTTGCTCCCTGCTTCTGCTGCAATCAGCTTTTATTTATGTAGTGGTTATGGAAAACAGCTCTTAAAGGAAAACTGCACCTGTTTTGCCCTCTGAGGCAGATTTTGCGCTAATTTACATGGATGCATTTCCTATTAGAGTTTGCTAAATGCTGGGGTCTCACGAGGAAATGAAAGCCCTTAAATACGAGCAGGCAGAGTGCAGTACCCAGCTTTCAGACCCACAGAGCTATAGTAAACCCTGATGAAGAAGATGAACTGTCTTTTTCATGAGCACTTTTATGTTCTCATCTCCCATTGCTCCCAGGAACCAGCTGCTGTGTGAACTGCTGACATCCCAGCTCAAAGGGACTGCAGACCAAACAGAAAGTCTTGTCCTGGGGAAATTCCTGAGCCCAGGAGATTGTAGGATTACTGTGGATAAGTAAAGAACTATGGATTGATAAATTTTTCTGTTAATCCCCAAGGTGAACTTAATGAACATCCACTGCAGAGTAACTTTTCATGAACAAGCTGTGGTAACTTGAAAAAGAGAGGGGAATTTCTTGGGTCTTTAGTCCCACTCCAGCTCAAAGCAGGTTGACTTCTGAGTCAGGTGTTGCTGCTTATGTCCTTGTCCACGTGAATATCTCCAATTTCTCCCTGGGCACCTGTGCCTGGCCTTAGCCACTCTGAAGATTTTTTTTGTCTCCATGTGATTTTCCTTGCTGCTCCTTGTGCCTGTTGCATCTGCTGTGCACCTTCAAGGACAGCCTGTCTCCACCTGCTCTGGAACTTTTTGGATAGTGGGAGAGTGCAGCTAGGTGTCCCTCCTGTCTGAGCAGAAAACCTCTCTCTCTCTTCTCTCACATTGTGTGTCATCTCCCTGACCATTCTGGTGTGTTTCTGCTGGCCCTGCTGCACTTTCAGTGCCCCTCTTACACTGGGAATCCCCAAACTGGGTACAGCACTCCAGATATCATCCCAAAAGTGCTGTGCAAAGGGGAAGGGTCTCCTGCCTTGACCCACTGTGCTGCAACTCGTACAGCCCAGGGTGCTGTTGGTTTGCTTTATTGCAAGGTGGTATCATTGTCTCTTGTTCAGGTGGCAAGAAGATTCCAGGACTTTTATTCAAACACATGTTTGCAGGCTCTAGGAATACACTTAGGATTGCTGCCAGGGAATGTGTCCCTGAGAATGTGCTGCCCACGTTCCCCTGAATTTTGGGCCTCTTTAGGCTGTCTCAGTTTTGTCTCCCAAAAATAAATATTTCCATATTTTTGCTAGATACTCTTTGATTATTTGGCTTTGGGCTTTAGCATAATGGAGGTCAGTCCCTTCCTAAATAAAAGGATAAGTCCTACTTCCTCAGGCAGTCCTGGAGGAAATGAGCTGCCCAAGTGAACTGATGTGGAATTTAAGTAAGAGCCCAGCATAAATGCTAGCAGGCATTGGCCTAAGACTATCTGCTGATTTGACTGCAGAAAGAATGACACGCACCTCTGATAACTCGTCCTGTGGTGAGTCCTGCCAGATCCAGGCTGTGCCTGGATCCTGAATGATTACTGCACTTCCTGGTGGCTTGAGGAGTAGAAAAACAGATGAGAGGTGCAAATAAACCTGTTTTCCTCTAAAAACAGCTGCAGCTGAAGCCAAAGTTGGCCAGAGGATGCTGTCCACAAGCGTAGGTCGACAGACAATTCACTGTCTGAAGGACAATTCATGGCTAAAGGAGTGTGTGTGTGTATATCTCTATATTTGTGTATCTTCGTGCTGTGATATCTGTATGAAACTATTACACCCAAGCCAGATTGGCTGTTGAACTTCAGCTTGGTTACGTTTGCTCAAGGCGTGGCAAAAGCTTCCCCATAAAGGAGAGCAGGGATTGGGCCAGCCCGTGTCTCTCTGGGGGTGCTGGCTGGAGTCACGCCGGAGGTGCTGCAGGTAAAAAACATCCCTTGGTGTTTTATTTAGCACGTGATGAAGCAGGTGAAATACAGGTAATAGGGCTGGAAAAGCACCACAGACACATTGAGAGGGATTTGCCTTGGAGAGACAGAATAAATTAGAGTCCCTATCCTTAATTTTACCTGGAGGGGAAGAAGAGATGAATCTGCCATCCTAGAAAGAGGCTCCTCTGTAAAACGGTAAGTTGTCAGAAGTAATTGGATCAAGTGGGAGTAGAGATTCTAAGATGAGGAGGATGCTATAGTTACTGTAGGCTGGTGTTAAATGAGGTAGAAAAAAGGTATCTGGAACTGTCCTATGCTGTGTATGCAAAACGAGAAGAAAATTGAGTTAATAAATAGCCAGAAGGGAGTACTTCACAGGCTGTTTGGAGCAGAAGGTCGTGCAAGATGCCACTGGGAAAGTAATTTCCTTGAGGGCTGTCGGAGTGCCTGGCTTTGGTTTTGATTTTCTGTGGAACCCAAGGCTTTTGCACATGGTGTGTGCAAGGAGCTGCTGTCCATCTGGGGTTTGGGACACCCACGTTCTGGTCCCTGCACTGCATCCTCAGCTTGCTGTCTCTGCAGGAGGCTGCTGCCTCTCATTTGTTTCTTCCTCTGAATGCTAGGAAGGATAATAAACTCACACTTTCCTTCATTATAAGATAATTCTGGAACTGACATTTTTACAATGCTTCAAGTACGTGAATGACAGGATCTTAGAGGAAAGAGTGCTGGCAGTACTGTGGCATATATTGAATATTATGGGGAGATGAAATGTAGCTTGATAGTTTGGAGTGTTTGAAAGGAAACAGGGGAAGAAGGGCTGCTGACTTTTCAGCTCTTCTGGTACTCTTTGTTGTGTTTGAGAAAATTAGTTGCTCTTTCTAAAGTACAGAAATTCAGCTAAGCCAACATATAATGGAAATGTTTTGAGAAAATCAGTGGAGAGGAGAAGGTTCAGCTATGAAGTACGCATGGTTTCTAATTGCCTATTTCTACTTTCTACTCCGTGAAAAATACCAAAGCCATTGAAGGAAATGATGTCTGTACTGTGACATAAATCTTTATGCAAAGAGTAATTAGCTGTCAGTAGCTTTTGCTGCCATTGAGTACCTGATTATAGTTGTGGCTTGACATCTTTGCTGAATGAGAGCTGGAGGGAGACAGGACACACCTTCACTGCTGCCTTTTAGGCTGTTCAGTGCAGAGAATGGTGGCTGCTTGGGGTTTCCCCATGGATTTCTGCAGGAGTCACCAACCTTTTTGCCCTGCTGTGTTCAGAGACTCCTCTTTCCTTCCCATCCTTTCCAGCTGCATCACTTGATCTCTTTATATCCTTCTGCCTCTGGATTTTCCTCTGCTTACTTCCTCTCCCTGTTTATTGGCTGTTTGTCCCTTTCTCAGGGACAGACAACACAGATATCCCTCTGCTGAGAAGGAAGAGGAACCAAAAAAGAGCAGCAAAGTTGGGTGTGATTCCCTTCTCCATTTCAGATAAGTGTGTTGAAGGAGATCCCAGGACTAAGCAAATGTTTGTTTAGCCCCTCCTGAATGTTTACCCCCTTCTGAATAACAATTTCTTCCCTTAGTTGCGTGGCAGTCTCTTTGTTTTCTTTAGAGTTTGACAATGTGTCTGAACCAGACTTTGTGTTTGGAATCCCTCCCTCTCTCCTTGCATCCTGTGGCAGGCAGCAGTGCAAGGGCAACATCTCCAATATCCATTCCATTATAGCTCTGTCCCTTGAAAGCCTTTAACAGTGAGAAGCTCCCCAGCCAAGCAGTCAACATTCAGCTTTAACAACTTTTGTGACCTTTGCTGTTGCTGATGGACCCGTGAGAGCCACGTGGGAGAGCTGTGGCCAGGAATTCAGGGTGCTGCTCCAAAAGAGGCGACCATCAGAGCATGTTGTAGCAGCCAGGACACTGCTAGCCAGGTCCTGACCCCACGGGCTGCCTGCAGAGGGGCATGGGTGGCTGTGGAACTCATGTGTCTGTGCTGATGAAGATATTCCTGCAAGGGAGTAGTAGTTAAGTGTGTTATTTTCCTCAGTCTGGTTGCTAATTTAATCCCAATATGTTAAACAACGTAATTAAACACACACACACACACATGCTAAAAACTCTTGTTCTCTGTCAGAAGAGAGGGAACTAATTTAATCCCAATATGTTAAACAACGTAATTAAACACACACACACACATGCTAAAAGCTCTTGTTCTCTGTCAGAAGAGAGGGAATGCGTGTCAGACCCAGCCTTCAAGCTCTGTTAATTTTAATTTGAGCTTTGGAATTAGTAATCAGTTTTGCTGGAACACTGTTTCAAGAAATAGATCTTAGCATGCACGGAGCCTGGGCACAGTTTCAAATGAGTATTTGTTAAGAAGCCATTCCCTTGTCGTGTTATGGTACATTACATAAGATTTATTTCCATTGTATTAAAAAATGCAAACCCCAGGGGAATGCTCTCTCTTCTTGTTGGCCGAGGGTGGTTTTGGATTTTTTTGTGGGGCTTTTAATTAAAACAATGAGATGCAAAACCACTTATTTGTTTAGGCTGTTGTTACCATGCCAGGAGGCTAAGTGACTTGAAGCACTGAGAAAGGTGATGAGACTAAGTAAAAAGGATGTAGGGAGGGGAGTGGGGGGGCTGTATCACACCTTCATTGCAGCTGAGCTGTGCTTTTGACATGTGGGAAGAATTCACAATACAAACCTGAGGCTTTGCTCTTACTGGAGCCATCTGCTCTATTTGTGCAGCACCAGGGACATCTCAGATCTACAGATAAGTTTGTTTGGTAGAAAAGAGCCCTTTCATCTACAAAAAAAATTTGAACAACAACAAAAAATCAAACAAGCAAACAAAACCAACCAACCAAAAGAGCAATGGCATCCTGTTGCTGGAAAGTGAGACTAGGTGACTTTAGGCTAGAAATTAGCACAGCAAAGTTAATTAAGTGGAGGCGAGGCTTGCCGAGGGCATGTGGTGGATTTTCCAGTGCTGAATTATGGAAGCCAGGAGCTGGGGGCAGGAATCCCTGGATCAAGTGTGGTGGAATCCATAAAGCAAGATGCCAGAGCAGGATCACAGGGATTCTGCCTTTAAAAGTCTGTTGATAAGGGCCTTCTCTTTTCATAGGGAGAGAAGCAAAAGGGGAAATATAGCTCAGGATAGTTAATATTTTGGTTTTGTGGGAATGAAGGATGAAAACTAGGGTGGACCCTGTGTCATGTGTTTATCCAGCAATATGTAATTTTGTGTTACGACAGGAGCTGAAGGAACCAGGAGGCAAGGCAGGCTGCACAACCTTCTTGCTACTTCTCTGAGCCCTGAAACCACAGCAGAAGCTTTCAGCTGAAGGGACATCCCCAGGAGCTGGTGCCCAGGTGTGTGTCTCTGTACATCCATGTGGCTCTGGGGAGCACACCTCACAACTCGTGCTCTGGTTGGACAGAACCAATTGGTTTCTTTAAGCCCCAGTGCCACTGGCTCCTCCAAATGTGCAGTTTTCCCTCTTTCTTGTGTCCTTCTCCCACTCCTGCACTAAAATTTCTCCCATCCCGCAGTCCAGTGCCTCCATGGAAGGCGAGCTACCTCCCTTTGGAACAAAAGTAGATCTTTGCTGGCAGAACTCCTGCTGTGCTTTTTGATGCCTGTAAAGGGACAGAGCCCTCAACAGGAGATTTTGGCTCCTGCATCCATCCCTAGCTGTGCCAGCAGGTGTATTAGCAGGTCTGTTCACTCCAGGGTTTCACTGTGTGTATGAAATGTTCATTTCCCTAATTAAAGTTCCCCTTTCTGTTAGACACATTAACAGAGAGGGCTTCCACCCTGCTTCAGAATGGAATACCTGGAGAAGCCACGCAGAGGCTGCTCAGTTTAAACAGCAGCTTGAAATCCTGTGCTCTGGGCACAGCTGTGATTCCTGACTGAAGTGTTTTGGGATCCTGTGGGCATCATCCCTGCCCACACTCCCACTCTCCTCTTGTGCAGCTCCTGCTCCTTCCCCTGTGCTGGCTTATACTGCAGCTGTACCTCAGTGCTCACACAGCAGCTCGCTAACAGCTTTGCTCTCTGTCCTCGGGGAAGACTCCAAATTCAATTTGTAGCACTGACAGCACCGGTTTAAGATAAACCAGTGGGGATTTGACGACTGCTCTTTCCCCATGCATTTCCAGCTAATAAGGATTTTGTCACTGTGGCTGCCCTCAGTTCTGCAAGCTGCAGCTCCACAGCCCTCCTGGTGGGAGGGGAAGGGGTTATCCCACACACCCCTGGTGCACCACTTTGCATCGGGAAACTGATGGCAGTCCCTGTCCTCCCCCCACAGGAAAAGGGCACAATGCTCGCTCCCATGCCAGAGCGGGGCTGGCAAACCACAGGAGCCACAGGAAACCTCTGGAACCTGAAGAAATTTAACAGCCAGGACTTCAGGGACCTGCAAGCCTCGTGCCTGAGCCGAGGGCTGCTCTTTGAGGATGCCACCTTCCCTGCCCACGCCAGCTCCATCGGTCCCACCCTGCTCCCGGAGGAGAAGCTCCGGCAGATCCAGTGGAAGAGGCCAACGGTGAGTTCCAGCAGCTGGGGAGCTTTGTGGCACTGCTGCTCCATGGGACCACTGATGGCCAGTGGCTAAATGGTGGTGTGAAAAACACCAGTCATTTGTTTTAAAATTTTAAATTTTTAATAGTAATAAAATGGTTATAAAAAGAGTAATACAAATTAGAGCAATAAGAATTTGGACAATCAGAGTTAGGACAATAAAGAAGCAAAGAATTACAAACGTTCAGATGCTTTCCTCTTGAAAGCATGGGTCACTAACAAAGAATTAACCTTTAAAAGCAATAGCCTGACGTATGTTCATGTATCTTATACACTATTCAAAAATTCTTTTGAAACGAAGGGTGTTTTCTGGTTATTGTCAACTTCCCCCCCTCATCTTGTAAATCAGCCATCTCAGTCCACACCAAGTTTGTTTCTTCCCAATAAGGAGGCAATGATTCTTCTCTTGGAGATTTTGGTGTCTTGTTGCTGTTATCTCCGTGCGAATAATTTCTTGAGCTAGTTAGAAAAAGTATTTTACATCGCATAGTTTCTACTTTAATGTTATGTCATAGCCTAAAACTACATTTAGCACAATACTGAAAAGGATTAATACTTTATAACTTTCTAACATAACACATATAATATTAATTTTAATATTTGCAAAGAGCCAATCATAAAATATGCATTTTTCACACTGTGTTCAGTAGGAGAGTAGATCTCAAGGGAAACACTGGAAGCACAGTTGTAAGGAGGGATCCTTGCTGTGGGATGTGTGGAAGGAAGAGAACCTGTGAGAAACAATTGGTCACTTTAAAAAATGTTAAAGGTTTATTAAATGTTAACAAAAATTACAACAAAAGAGCTAAATGAGGAACAGTTGTAGCACTGGGAGCCCCCGTGACAATCAGCCAGGTGCTTGTCTACAAAATGGATGCTTTGCCTTTTATATCTTTAGCCCCTCCCAAGTTTTTTCAGTCAATCATTCCTCTGCTGTCCATTGGTAGCGATTATTTTCTTGTATCTTGGTTGGAGGTCAGGTGCTGTTACCCTGAGCCTCCTGGTAATAAGCTGGCCCTCTCTAAATGCCCTGACTACCGAGGCTATTAAAAGGGGGAGGGAAAGAGGACTGTGGAGAGACATGTCACAGTAACATCACTATGCATTTTAACATCTACATAATATCTGTCTCTTAACTGTGAGAGCCAACTGTTGTATTACTCATCTGTAACACAACCTCTGCAACATTAATGATTCCATTAGGCACATTTTTGTAGGAAGTCTGCTTCCACCTGTGAACCTGACTAGAAATACTGTTCCAAATTTGATCTGCTTCTGAAGGATTTTGTGCAAACCTGAAAAGTTGTTAAATTCTGTTGAAGATCTCTGATTTCTGTAATCCAGGCGACTGACTCAGCAATACCTATTTTAAAGTAATTGGGACAAGGCGGGAGATGAAGTTTGTGTGCTGATTCCCAGTTGCAATTTAATTGCAGTTATCGTCTGGCATATGGAAGTTTAGAATGGGAGGTGGAATCACATGCTCAGCTCTTTTATCCCAGGACCTAATTTAGGAAATCTTCCCGTGGTCCAACTGCTCTGTAGAGCACTGCTGTGTGCCATTTGCTGCTGGTGCAGCTCCTGGATGAGCCACGTGCTGCCCCTTTTCTGGGTTTTGCTGAGCACATCTCTACTGCCTGGGGGCTTTGGCTTCCCTGGGCTGGGAGGACAATGCCTCAGGGTATAGAGACAGTGGCTGTGAGACTGTAAAGAGACAGCACAAAACAACAGGAAAATATTTATTTGGGTGACAGATGGGTTAGGGCAGTGAGGGTGTGCTGGAGCTTGGCAGCACGGTGGCCTTGGCACAGCAGCAGCAGAGGATGCAGCCAGCGTGGATGTTGAAACTCATGGATCCCAGAAGGGAAGCAGAGTAGCCAGGACAGCCTGCAGAGCTGCTAAATGTGGATGCCCACATGGAAAGGCAGGAAACACAGCTCATGGTAGGTGTGGAGGTGCTGGGTGAAGATATTTGGGTGTCTTCTGTGGAGGTGCCATTGTCTTCTGCAGAAGCTGCTCCTACCACAGGCTGAAGGTCTGGGCTTCTCCTTAGGCAGTTTTCCTTCAAAGTCTGTGTCTGGTGAGAGTGCAGCTGGTGCTGTGTTTTTTCACTCTGCCTATGGGTTCACAGCAGGTGGGAATAATCTCTCTTGAATGTTGGTTGTATTAGGAAAGTAACTAAAAATGCAAAGGAGAGGAGTTAGTTGCCTCTGTTTCCAGTCTGAGAGAGAAAAAGTAGGATAACTAAGCATTAGACTCACAAAAGACAAACACAGATATTAGAAAGCGCTCTCCAGGGGCATTTTAAAGATGAATAAACTGGAATAAAATGTTATGATACAGTTCTCTTAAGTACTAACACCCTGGTGCTTTTGCAGCAGAGAAGCGTAGGACTATAAAAGCATACAAAGTGACTTAGAAACCCAAATACCACTGATTTTGAGGCTGTGGGATGAACATCTATCCCACTCCAATATCCTGAGAGTTATTTCATGTGCAAAGGGACTGACGTACCTTGCCAAAAGCAGAATCTGCTGCTCCTAGTGCTTGAAGTTTGTCAGGTGAGGCAGATATTGGAGAATTCCCTTCTATTTTGCTGAATCCATGAATACTAAGGTTGTGAATAAAAGTTTTTGTGCAATTGGTTTCAAAAATTTACATATATCCTCTCCATCCCAGCATTTCCCTTCTGAAGATTTTTTTTTTTTTTTTTTTTTTACAGCAGCTAGCAATTTTCCAGAGTGTTTCTTTTCAGGAAGGAAAAGGATCAAAATCCTTGGCTTTGCCATAGCTCTTCTTCAAAAAATTAAGCCATATGCTCACGGCCCAGGGTTCATGATGTGAGCATTGAAAAGCCTTTTGTTCATTTATAGAGACTAAAGCAGCATCACCAGCTGCCCTCTATGACAGGGACAAAAGTTGAGACTGCTGACTCAACTGGGTCACCTGGAACAGAAACTCAGGATTCCAGTGCTGAAGAAGGCCCCATTTTTTTTTTATTTTTTTTTTTTCTCCTCAGTCTGACCAAAATTTTCACCTGCAGATGTCCCCCAACCATGCAGGCTTCACCTTGCCAGATAAATGCAAGATAAAGGGCTGAGGAGAGCAACCAGAAAGTCTCAAACATCACTACAACAGCCATGCTGTGTCATGGTGACATCAGTGTGGCCTCACTTTCCTGACAGAATGAAGCAGGGGTAGAAGGTGTTGCTGAATTGCAGTGTTTGCTTTTCATTTAGAGAGCTGCAGATGTCTTGAGTGAGGGGTCAGGAGGCAAATAAAGCTGTGTTTGCTTTTCATAAGCACTGAAAGGCCAATGCTGTGTCCAGTTGCCTCTGGGAGTTGGTCCCTCAGGAAGAAGAGGGAGATATCAGGTGGGGCACCTGTCACCCATGCAGAAATGTTTGTACAATCTTTGTTCCTAGCCCACTGCAGTCCTAGAGATATGTGATCCCAGGTGTTTAAGCTACCTAAACAGCTCAGCCAAGAGATACCTATAATTTCCCCAAGAGAGACTGTTTCCAACCTGAATACATCTCCCAGAGACTCAGTGCAGTTGTATTCTGCTGACAAATCATGGCCAATTTAACCTGTATCTGTATTTTTCCCAGCCTCCTCCATTAGCTCCTTCTGACATTAAAATAAATTTGTCTGGAATTGTACCTGTGACTGGCATCTTGGTCCTAATAATCTCTTAGCCTCCATTTACTGTCGTGCAGTATCTGGTTATTTAAGTTGTAGATAGCAATTATAACTGCTGTCTTTGTTCCAGATCCAACTGAGAAGTTGAGCTACATGCTGCTTCTATTTTACCTTGTACATTGTCAAGAGAATTGCCAATTACACTCAGATTTGGAGTCTTCATATCTGAGGATAATGTATAAAGTGGAGAGAAAACAGCTTGATTTCAGGCAGTGACAGTCAGCAGTGACTGTCAGAAACAACTTTTTGACTTGTAAACTCATCTTGTTTAATAGGCAAGTGCCTGTAAAGGGAGGGAATGTGGATCAGGAGCACCAAGACGATATTTGGAATGTCACTTTTCCCAACTCTGCAATAGTTACAGTTTCCCATCAAACAGGGACTGCTTCAGGCTGTGTTTGCATCCCCAGGCCCACAATCTACACCCACTGAAATGTGAAATCTTAACAGGTTTTGCATGTGGCATTTCAAGCATTACTAGAGGTCAGGCTGAAGGTACCAAATACCTTCTGAGGTCCTCAGAAGGACCTCACAATTAACTATTCCTTTGGTTCACCAACAGTTTTGAGAATTGGAAAAGAAGATCTGGTTTGGACTGAATAAAGTGTTTTCTATAGCTGGGCTTTTCTAAAGATCAGTCAAAGGGAAATTCTCTGTGAAGAATTATGTCAGATTTTAAAAACTGAAATGCTCCTTTTAAAATGTTCAGAACAATTCTTTTTCATTGTTTGCTGCTTTTCCTTCACACAAGCTATTGATTGGAACCGAGGAAGCCATGAAATGATTAACTGTTGCAGAATATGCATTTTTATTCAATTATTGTTCAGGCTAAAGATTTCGCTCTGTCCTGATCATAGTGCATAATACTGTGCAGATGCAAAATGAAATTGAAGGAGGATGGTCCAGATGATGTGAATTGTGGTGATGCTAAATGTGGAATGCTTTACTTCAGCTAACATTGGTTATATTTTCAGATATGATATGTGTGAGGGGAGAGAGATTACCACCCATGCAGCAGTGCCCTGCACCAGGGCTCAGTGTGGTGCCCATTGTAAATATGTGAAGGCTAGTCCCTGATCTTCAGTGCTTATGCTTTAGAAGAAGGCTAAAATGGGCAAAGGGTGAAGTTGCTGAAGGTTTTTCTGAAGGGTCCTCAAGGTTGCAGACTACTGCTCCTGCCCTGCTCACCCTTGGTCTCTTGGGAACCCATTATGGAATGAGGGGATGCTGAGCAGGAGCTGGCAAAAGAAGATCTGTCCTCTG